TTTAATTTTGACTCATGTACTTTTAACTTGTTAGTTAAATTTGTGTCATCTAGGCTGCAACAGTTTCATGATGCAACTTCAAGGATATGGACATGTATGGCTAAGCACAATTGATAACAGTGCATCTAAATTCCAAAATCAATCTCCATAATAGTCTATGTGTTTCCTATTGCTATAGGGGCCCTTTAGAGTAGTGAGAGAAGATCTTCACCCTGAAACCTACAGTGTCCCTTTTCAGCAGGAAGTAGCTAAGAGAATATGCCGTCCCTTTTCCTTATGAATCAGGGTGAAATCTCTCTCAGGGAGGAGTGATAGGGAATAGCAAAGAACACACTGACAAAGGAGATTAAACACAACTGGTTTTGACAAGCACTGTGTCAATGGGACAATTAAAACAGACTTCCAAGGGGAAAAAAAGGAGAGGAATGAACTGTGATGGGGTAGAGAAAATAGTGCAACAATGAATGAATGGAAATAAAAAATCTCTGTAAATGTTCATTAAAATTAATAAGATAAAATTTTAAAAAAATACATACTGAATAACTAATTACAGTAGCACAGGAACCAAAAAAACATACAATAATAGTAATCAAAGCCAATGTGAAAAAAAAAAATTAAAAGCATTTAAAGCAACTAGAAGACTTCAGGGAATGTAATGTATTTAACAATTGTATAATTAAAGTGTTGGGTTTTTTTTGGTTTTTAACTCTGTTGCTGTTGAGTACTGTAGAATCAGAACTGACCAATAGCTGACCCTTCAGAGTGTTTTCAGAGGCAGTTAATATCTATCTAAATTTTGCATGGAGATATTCATCAAACCTGCTGTCCCTAATTATAAGAAACAATCTTCAGAAGAATTATAGACAGAGGTGCATTAGGGATACAGGGCTGGGCAAATGATATTAAAGAAAATAAACATATTTATTAAGCTATCTGAATTCTTGGAAAGTTCTTTGATAAATAAGTGAAACTAAGTGTTCTGAAAGCAGTGTCAGTTGGCACATCTTATTAAAATGTTATGTCTATCTGAATTTTTCAAGCTTATGATTTATAGTTTTTACTAGAGAAGTTAAGAATTATACAAATTAAATCTATATATTAGAAGACATACACGGGATTTTTAGTATATGCATTTAATTGAATTTTATAATTTGGACTCAACGTGAATTGCAATAAATGGATCCTCAGCAGAGTTACTTATGGAAAAATGAGCATTGCCGTCGCCAGAAACATTGACCGTGATTCCTGTGCAACTGTTACCAACTTTATCTCCAGAAATGACATCACAGTATGTTCCAGCAGGAAGACCAGTTTGCAAAGTTGAAGACAAAGACCTGTAAAATGAAATTTAAAGTATTAACTTGACTTCAACACATTTAAAAGCAATAATATAGACCATTATTAAAACAACTTAGACTAGCATTCTAAGCAGTCAAAATATCAATGAAAAGAAAATCCATTAAAAATCCCTTTCTGATGTTTGTGAATGGATTTCTCATGAGCAAAACTAATCTTACATAAGAATCAGGAATTTGTTAGTGAATGAACAGTATTAGAAAATGAAGATTGAAGTATAACAGTGAACAAGATTTGAGTGTTGTCACCCCCCAATAAAATTATGACCTTTGAGGAACAAAAATATTCAAAATTTTCCTTCCCTGAAGTTAATAAAATACTGATTTTGCTCAAGAATTTAAATTATAATATCTCTTCAAAAGTTTAAATGAATTTGGGTAGAACTAAAGATAGGCATTTATACAAAATGTATGGTTTAAAATATAAAGCTGCTTTGAGAAAATTTAGTTGTGATCTTTTATCTGCAAATATAAAAGTGTAAAAGGATCAGCCACTGACTCTTTTCTCAAGAAAGATGACTTTTCCCCCCAACATAATATAATTAGATAAGTAGTAAGTGGAAGCTGAATTTATATTTCAACTACTTTAAAAAGGGTATTCATTTTGTTCTCCCATTCTACACAATAAGAAGTCAATATAATCGAGGCCAAGAATATACATACTTGGCTCCACAGTCAACACTCTTGGTAACAGCAGCCAGGAAATCAGGAGATGAATTGCATTGGGAAAGTCGGCTGTGAGGGACCTCTCAAGAGTACTGAAGAGCAATGATGTCAGGCTGGAGACTAAGGTGCGCCTGATCTGGGCTATAG